GAGATGATGGCAATATCTGCACCCGGATCAATAATTCCTTCCAGAGTTATCTCATTTTGATGGGTGGAGTGCCGGAGGCTACAACGGTAGGAAGGGCGTCACGTGGAGACCTTCTGGGCCCACACAGTCTGCACAGGCCCCATGGAACCGAAACAACCGTCTCCGCAAGCATCCGCCAGGCATCGCGGCACCTGGCTCCAAAAAGGCATCAACTGTGCAATACGTGAGCTTTCAGGAAACTGACATGGAGGAGTAGGAGTCCATACCATAATTTGAATCTCCCCCATAAAGTCCACATTGATAACACCAGGCAATACAAACAGCCCCCGGCGTGTCGCCAAGGAGCAGCCAAGAAGGAGGGCACTCAGTCCATTGCCCAATGGTCCCTTAACCCCCATAGGGATCAGGGTAATGGTTGTATCATAAAGTGTTACTGTGACTGCGGAGGCCAGGTCCGTTCTGGCGCTTCCGCTGGCATATAGGCTGGGGCTGCCAGGTGCAGAGGAGGGGTGGCTTGTGTTGTTGAGCGCCCCCTCTGCGCGCTGGCCGGGTGGTTTCCCAGACCCGATGGCTGAAGCGGTCTGCCGTCCCTGTCAAACCTGGAGTGACACTGGTTGGCGAAGTGCCTCCCCTTTTTGCATCGTGGACAGACCCCGGGCCCCTTGGCCTGCATCTTCTTTGGGCACTCTCTCTTAAAATGGCCAGTCTTCCCACAGGAGAAGCACTTCTGGGGGCCAGTATAAAAGGCTGCTAAAGCCTGTGCTAAAAGGTCCATCTGGTATTGGTAGGTGCCCACATTCTGGCATGCGTCTATCATTTCTGTGAGAGTAGGGTTTTGCAGGGTTTTTAAGATGCATTTGCAATCAGCATTAGCATTCTTGACCGCTAGCTGTTTCAGCAGGTTTCCTGCTTATCAAGGGCACCCTTCAGCCAGTCCACAAACTGTATGTAAGACTCCTGGGGACCTTGCTTAATGGTAACAAAAGACTGTTCAGGTTTCCCGGCATCTGGCACTTTCTGGAAGGCCTTATAGGCCAATTCTTTAGACATCGTGAGGGCTGCCACAGAAAGGGTGGCTTGTGCCGCAGGGGTCTGATACAATCCTTCCCCCAGGAGGGCGTCTGTTCCTACTCCGTGCAGAGGATCACTGCCTGGGCGTCCCAGATTCTCTATTGCCCTTTGCTTCGCTAACTGACGCCATTGATTAGTCCATATCATAAATTGGGTGGCCGTTAAAAGTATTTGTGCTATGGTCTTGCAGTCATGAGGCACCAGGACATGCATTTCAAACACTGATTGCAAAAACCTCATGGAATAGGGGGACTGTAAGCCATTATCTTTGACCGACCGGTGTAGTTCCTTAATTAGGGAAAAATCGAGTCCCTCCCACCTAGGGCGTCTTTGCCTTTCATAGATGATGGGGCACGTCCCACAGGCACGGAGAAGTTCAAAGTCCCCTTCCTTTGCTGCTGCCCGTCGGACCGAGCCCCATCTATCATGGGGATCGGGGGGAAACAAATTCAGTTCCTGCTCAGGATCGACTGGCCCGAGATTGAAAGGGTTGTCTTCAGGCGACTCCTGATCTCCCACGGCCCCCACCACCGTGTCGGCTGATGCCGAATCCAACGGGGGGGCTGTGAGGGTCTTAGACTGTTCTCTGGGCTTTTGAGTATGCTGTTTCAAGGTATCAAACATCGTCCGCCACCCTTGTGCTGTTTTGTCAGACTGGTTTGCCGAGTCCCAGAGTTTGAACCCTATCTGGTCCCAAGTTTTGGGATCGTAGAGAGAACTGGAATCAATCCCCGGGCAGTTTGACTGAGCCCACATTAACAGCATTTCAAGATCTTGGAGGGGTATGGTTTTCCCGTGTTGCTTCAATATTTTCTGCATTATGTTCACTACGGTTCTCTGCTCTTGGGAGATATCGTTCCCCTTTGTCCCCAGCTGCTCACCTCCGTCCAGCAGTAGGTAATTAGTTGTGCGCGATCCACTTCCTTTCAGCGATCCAAATTCAGCTGG